TCATTTACAATATGCGGATGATACCATATTTTTTTCCTCAGGAGATGAAAGTCAGCTACTTAATCTTCATTCGATTTTGAGACTTTTTGGGATTATTTCAAGGCTTAAGGTCAATTTGGGAAAAAGTAGTGTGGTGGGTATCAATATGCAGCAAGATCAACTTCAGAAAAGGGCGTCACTTTTAGGATGTGGTATAGAGTTACTTCCGTTTAAATATTTGGGTCTTCCATTGGGGGGTAATCCTAGGAGTGAAGCTTTTTGGTCTCCTGTGGTGAAAAAGATTGGCAAGAGATTGGAAGGGTAGAGTAAGGCTTTATTACGTAGGGGTAGATACACTTTGGTTAGGTCTGTTTTGAGTGGTATCCCTATTTATTATTTATCTTTATTCAAGATTCCGGTTAAGGTGGCAAAGTCACTAGAAAAGTTGATGAGGGATTTTCTTTGGGAAGGGAAGGATGAGGGGAAAAAGGATCACCTGGTGAATTGGGAGTTAGTGTCGTTACTTAAGGAGAATGGGGGTTTGGCTATCGGTAATATTGTGGCTAGGAACATGGCTCTTCTTGGCAAGTGGCTATGGAGATTTCCCCTTGAGGTTGATTCATTATGGCATTCGGTTATAAGAAGCAAATATGGGACTCATGACAATGGTAGGGATTCACGGGCGGTTTTGAGGGGTAACTGTCGTGCTCCTTGGAAGTCTATTTCTCAAATTTTCACATGTTGGTCTCGTCATCTTTCTGTTCGGGTGGGCAATGGGGAACTTGTTCGATTTTGGGAGGATGTTTGGATGTGTCAGTCTTCTTTTGCTGTCGATTTCCCACATCTTTATAGAGTGGCTCGTTCTCATAATTCTTCAATTGCGTCCATGGCTTGCTCACTTTTGACTCCAATTTCCTAGAATTTTGATTTTTCTAGGAATCTTAATGATAGGGAGGCTTCTCAGTTGACTTCTTTATTGACCAGAATTGACCAGTTTTCTTTATCTCCTCTGTTGGAGGACAAGCAGGTTTGGGCTCTTCATTCGTCAGGGATATTTTCTTGTAAGTCTTTTTTTGAGTACATCATTGATAATCCTCATGTTCTTCAGTTTCTTTTTTGCAAAAAAATTTGGAAGGCTTGTGTTCCCCTAAAAGTAAAGGTGTTCATGTGGGCCTTGGTTCATGGAGGCATTTTGACAAATGATACATTGCAAAAAAAGAGAGCCAATCGTTTTCTAAATCCTCAATGGTGCATTCTGTGTTTTAAAAATGGGGAATCCGCGGATCATTTATTCTTGCATTGTCCAATAGCGTTAAATTTGTGGCACAAATTGTTTTCTTTTGGAAATGTGGCGTGGGTAGCCCCAAAAAGGTGTACGCATATGCTCCTAGTGGATTTTCACACTTTTGGAGGATCAAAGAGAGCCAAAATGCTTTGGTCTTGTGCCGTCTTTGCAACTTTTTGGGTTCTATGGAGGGAGAGAAATACAAGGTTGTTTGATGAAAAGTTTCGGGAAGTGGGTTGTTTGTGGGATAATGTTTGTCATTTAACTTCTTTCTAGGTGTCGAGGAACTCTTTATTTAAGGGAGTTCCTCTTTTTTTGGTGGCTAGAGATTGGTTGGCGGTTTGTGATATGTAGGATTTTGCTCGTGTTTAGCTTGTTTGGGGGTTTTCAATTTTGTTTTGTTTTCTCTTAGTCCTTTTGTAAGAGGATGCCTCATCCTCATTTCCTTTTCTTATTTATCAATAAAGCTTTTGTTGTTGATCAAAAAAAAAAAATAACACCTCTATGAGCTAAGGACCACATGAAAAACTTTACTTTATGAGGGACACCCGCTTTCCAAATTTTCATGTGAAGAGGAAACAAAGGAACGGATGACTTATCAATGAGATTATCAAACAAGGATTTACAAGAAAAAACCCCTGAAGAGCTGATATTCCACACCCTTTTATCAGGATATGCTGCTAAGGAAACCCCACCAACCAACGTCAACAAAGATGTCAACTCAAGAGACTCCCTATCACTAAGATTCCTAAGGAAGTTGAAATTCCAAGATATTGGTGCCACATGAGAACGTGCCACCGACTCAATTGAAACATTTTGAGCTTGAACCAATCGATATAAAAGTGGAAAAGCTTTATCAAAAGATGTATCCCCTACCCAAACATCCTCCCAAAAACGTATACTAGCCCCATCCCCCACTTTCATAGAGAAAAACCGAGACACAATTGGATACAACCGAGAGATAGACTTCCAAGGAGAACGACAACTGCCCCTACTAACCACAATAGAATCTCTACCATTAGCCTGAATTCCATACTTGCTTTTAATGATAGAACCCCATAAGGACTCGCTTTTCTCGGGAAATCTCCACAACCATTTGCTTAAGAGGGCAATGTTTCTAGCAACAATGTTCCCAATAGCAAGACCCCCTTTATGACGAGGAAGAGAAACAACCTCCCATCTAACTAAATAATCCCGCTTACCCTCATCACACCCTTCCCAAAGGAAATCTCTCAAAAGTTTCTCAATTTGCCTTGCAAAACGGACCGGTATCTTGAAAAGGGACAAAAAATAAATAGGAACACAACTCAACACTGACTGTACCAAAGTGTATCTCCCACCCTTTGAGAACAATGCTCATTTCCAGCCCTCCAATCTTTTCCCAATCTTAACGAAAACCTTTTCCCAATCTTAACGAAAACTAGATCCCAGAAGGCCTCTGTTCTAGGATTACCACCTAATGGAAGTCCCAAATACTTAAGAGGGAACCTCTCAATGGGACAACCCAACATGTCTGCCAAACGACCCTCGTAACTACACTCAGGATTAATTCCCACAACACTGCTCTTAGAAAAATTGACCTTAAGGCCAGATACAACTTCAAAGACCCTTAAAAGCATAAGTAGATTACATATCTTACCTTCCTCCTTAGCAGAGAAAAATAAAGTATCATCTGCAAACAGCAAGTGAGTCACACTAATCCTATCTCTACCCACCACAAACTCCTCAAGAACCCCCTTTTCCTCAGCAATATCAAGTAACCTCCCCAACACATCAACCACTACAATAAATAAAAAAAGTGATAATGGGTCTCCTTGCCTTAAACCCCGAGATGCATGAAAAGAATTCCCCGTTTTTCCGTTGACAATAACCGACATATTACACGAAGACACACACCCCCAAACCCACTTCCTCCACCTAAAACCAAAACCTTTCCTTTCCAAAACAAAATCCAGAAAGCCCCAATCCACATGATCATATGCTTTCTGAAAGTCTACCTTGAAAAGAACCCCCTCCTTATGCAAAGCTCTATATTCCTCCACAACCTCCTTGGCCACTAGAACCACATCCAAAATTTGCCTTCCATGCACGAAGGCTCCTTGTGAAGGAGAAATCGTTTCCCCAAGGACAACTCTAATTCTTTTGGAAAGAACTTTCCCCAAAATTTTGTAAAGCGATGTAACCAAGCTAATGGGCCTAAAATTCCCAATCTTCACCGATATCTCTTTCTTGGGAATAAGGCAAATGAAGGATACGTTGGTACAAAGGTTAACCTCCCCACTCTCGAAAAATTCACCAAATACTCTCATTAAATCACCTTTCACTATATCCTAACACTCTTGGAACAATGCCATTGAAAAACCGTCCGGGCCTGGAATTCACCCGAAGGCCCGAACATGCCTTAAAACACAACAAAACACATCTCAAATATCCCATCTGCTCCGCCAATACCCCACAAAAAATTAGAGTATCATCTACATACAACAAATGGGAAACACACAAAGATGCTCCCGTGAAAGAACCCACCAAAAAACCCTCCAACAAACCTTCATGCACTGCTTTGTCCAACAATCTGCTCAACGCCTCCATCACTAAAATAAACAATAATGGTGATAAAAGATCTCCCTGACGAAGACCTCGGTGCGTCAGAAAGAACCCTATTAGAGTACCAATAACCATAACCGACATCCACATAGTAGAAATACAAAACTGAATCCACTGACGCCAAGTATCGCCAAAACCCATACGCTCCAAAACATATACTAAGAACTCCCACCGAACATTAGCATAGGCCTTCTCTATATCCAACTTACATATCAAACTTGGCCGCCCTTGTCTAATGCGGGAATCCACACATTTTTTGTGTGAAAATTTTGTACATAATTTTTTTTATATACCATTACTCTTATTAAATATAGTATAATATCCGGCATCAGTGGGTTCAAATCCCTTCTCGGTGGGTTCACATATGAAGACTTTCTCCTAAAACAACAATTTACATATGGTAAAACATTTTGTTTTCCCTAACCACTGGGTTCATGTGACACCACTACGAACCAAGTAGCGTCGCCCCTTGCTACAGGTATATCCTTCAAAAGAATTTCCATGAACTCAAACCAAATTATTTGTTGGCCATGGAGGTTGTGAGGGTCTGTTTTGGTGAGGTGCAGGTGGGCTAGTGATTTAGGGAAGCCTTTGTAATTTTAGAAAAGAGAGAGAGATCCTATATTTAGGCCTTGCTTCAAAGGAGGTTGGTGTAATTTAACCTGGTTTATAAATTTATAAGTAAATATGTAAAAGGAAACTGGCATTAAACTGAACTTCAGAATTCATACACAACCTAAAATTTTGTTTTGTATCACTTTAATCATTATTATTGTGAAACTCGTCTTTGTAAAAGTAAATAGGAATTATCCAAACAAATTTTGGCAGAAGTGAGCTAGAAATCATCCTTTAATTCTCAAAAAAGTTTTAATCAATATTGGGTATTTATAATTTATCTACTTCCCTGCTAGTTGCTTAAAGTGCCTGTACTCAAATGATTCATATATTTTAGCACACTTGAAAATTAATTATTGACAGTCTATTGGCAAACAATTTTTGTTTTTAATTTTCCAGATTAAAGTTCAAAAATCTCTTATCAAACACTAACAATAAAAAACAAAAAAGGACACCTCAAAGTAAATATCAAATTTCACAATTAAAAATCAAACACATAAGACAGCATGTTCCTCACCAAGTTGCATTGCCATCCCCAGACTGCATTCTTATGATGTCTGTGCCCCATATCTTTATAGTAAGATCATCACTGCAAAATCAGACCATATCATTGTAGTAGGCCTTGACAGCACAGTTCTATGCAACTTCAGTGGGCTGCTATAATGACAACTATTGCCAAATTATAGCAGCTCGACCCAAGACATCCACTCCAGCAGCCTGGCAAAATGGGTATTGCCAAACCTAGTGCCAAATTTATCAAAAGGTTTGTTTGGCAATGCCCTTTTTGCTGGATCAGCTCACCCAATAGAGGGATTTGATCCACTAGTCTGGATGTGAGACATTCAATGAACAGAAATAAGTACTGGTTTGAATGTGCCAAAATGGCATTTCCACCATTGGAAAATGGCATTTTGACACAGTAGTGCGTCAAATTATAGCTTTGGGAATGACCACCAGAGTTGCTACCATCTCCACAATATAAAAGTGCATTGATAATAACATGATAGTTCAATTGATAGGCATAAAGATGTGAGAAGATTTTACGTACCTACAGGTAATCATCTTGTCTCCACTGGCATTAAAAAATATGGCCCAGACTGTAGATGAATGTCCACTGGAAAGACAAACCAATAAGGAATGTATTAGTGTCCCTACTTAATCATAGGCTGGTACACAAAGAAACAGTAAGTTTACATCAAAATTTGTATGTCCTAATCATGCTGTACAGAGAGAAAAAAGAAAACATATCCAAACAATGATACCGCAAAACAAGAAGAAAGCACAGTAACTGAAAATCGCACATATTAAGTCATGGCCATAGACCAAACAAGAATATGCAAGGTAGACAGAAAGGACACCAAATAGAAATATTTCACTAACAATATATCGCTCAGAAATATCTAATACAATATAGTTTTTAAAATAATCATGGAATAACACATTTCTAAGAGCATTATGACTTTTGTTTTTTTTAAATGTCCTAACAAAAATCCACTCTCCCTAAATTTTAGTTCATTATATTTGATTTTTTTCCTAATAATAAAACCTTCAAGGAAATAAATAGGACAAAATTTTGCAATCGATTTGGATTACTAAATTTACTATTTTGGAATGAACTAATTGTTTGACACCATTGTAATAAGCATGGTCGTTAGAATCTTATGATTCATGATTTAATTCATATGATTCGATACAAGTTTCAACCAAAACGATTTGATTCGTTTTGTGTTGTTGAATCTTAGATTGAGTGAATCTTGTGATTCATTCGGTAAGATCACTGTGATTTAGTTCTCTTTGCATAATACATGAAACAACGTTGTTTTCCCCAAAAAATAAAAATCAATTAAATATATTGATATACATGTTTTACATATGGGCCTTGTAACAAGTGCCCCTAGGGCACAAGTAAAGAACAATATTTATAGAACAAAATGGCCATGTTTGGTTTGTCTTGTGAAACAATTTTGAAAAATAATTTTCTAGAAAAGAGTTTACAAAATTTGAAAATTTGTTTGGTTGTATATTTTGAAAATAGTTTTTGAGTTCTGGAGTTCTAGATGATTTAATTTTTTTTATTTTTTTTATTTTTTGTAGTTGAATAGATGGGTATGAAAAAAAAAGTGATTGATTGACGTGTAGGACGTGGGAGAAGGAGAGAGAAGAGAGAAAAAGTGATTAATTGATGTGTAGTAGAGAGAAAAGTGATTTTGGATTTGTTTTTCAAAAAAATTCAACAAAACAAATTTTTGAAATTTTTTCTCAAAAATTGTCTTTCAAGAGACAAACCAAATAAGGCCAATATACTTTTCATTAACTTCTACTGAAATCAATACGCTTTTTAATATTTTTACATATTTTCAACAGACTTTTTAAACACTTCTCAACATTAAACAATGTCCATGGGGCACTTGTTAGCATTTGCCTATATATTGATATTTATTTCATTTAACGATTCACAATTCACGATTTGACAACAATGGTAATAACCCTTTTAAGCGATATTCAATCACTCTTGTTCACAATTACATTGTATGACTTATTAAATAATACCTCTATAGTTGTTGTAACTTTGAAAATTTGTGGAAAACAAATATTAGAAAAAATAATGACAAAACAAGCCAGCAGGTTTCAACTTAAGTATTGAATTTTGTTAATAACTAATAGATTAAAGCCAGGAGGAAACAACACCAACCCTGCGCATGCTTACTTTAAAAAATAAAAAATAAAAAATTTAAAAAAAAATTTAAATAGGCTGAGGGTTCAAGTAGTACTTGTTAGATTCAGCTAACGTTTGAACACAATGCCAATCATCACTGTCGCCATCCTCTGCCCAAACCTGTAAAACATACGATGCATTTCTATTCAAACATACTGTCCAATTTTCTTGACTTAGATTGAAAGCTGCACAAGGTAATAATAGGATTACTGCATAATGAAGGCATTTGGATATTCATTGTACCTTGATGGTGTTATCATAGCTACACGAGACCAAAACATCCATTGACGGATGCCACTGGACCATTTTAACATCTTGTGTATGCCCTTGCAACACTGAAACGCACTCAAACTCATTCCCTGGCAGTACTTCCCAAATCCAAACAGACTTATCTCGGCCACAAGTAGCAAGCAGCGATCCAGATGCATTCCAGGACACACTTTTGACTTCATTTTCATGACCCTATGTAGAAAAATGTACCAAAAATACAGGCCAAAAAACAACTAAGGATACTACAAACCGGATGCAAGTTGAGAGATCGTAACGCGTCAAGAGTTAAAAATTGGTATACTTCAATAATGGTATATACAATCAATTATTACCTCCAAAGTGGACACACATTCAAAATCATTCCCAATTTGTTCCCAAATAGCAGTGGTGGCATCAAAACTCGCCGTTGCCAATAATTTACCCGATGGGGACCAGGCACATGATCTAACAGTTCTGGTATGTGTCTCTTCTAAAACTGCCTGCATAATCACAGCACAAGTATTCCAAAATAAAAATTAAATTACCTTCAATAGCTGGAAATCAACACACATATTAGTAAAATACTAAAAAGAAAATGAAGTTTGCAGGCCCCATAATTACTGTCATTGTTTCCAAAAATAAAAGCCAAGTTGGCCTTTTAACTTCAAAGTTAACAAAAGACAAAATTTATGCACTCATACAATTAAAACAAACCTAGAGCATAAATAAATTTCTTTTTTTTTTCCTTCCTTGCCAGATGGCAACGGGTCGGGTATTTTCAGGTTTTGTGCGCATATTCACGATTTCAAATTCAACTAATTTAGTTATAGAATTTCATACTTTATCCTAAGCTCAACAGTTTTGACCTACCTACCCATATACTCGACCTTACCCTTTCAATACTCTCCCAACCCTTTTCTTTTAAAATCAGATTGGAAAAAATACAATCCAGTTGGTCGGACAAAATATGATGAGACAACAAAAGTCAAAACTTTAGGCTAACTTGAGCTGAATTTCATTCTCATAAACTAGAACAAAGATAAACCTAAAACTAATAATGAATAAAACTCAATTTCTCAGCCTTTTTTCCTTTCCCAAATTTTCTTAGCAACCAAACGGGGGAAAAAACGTGTTTTTGACCTTGCATTCAAAGGAACCAGAGAGGAACTCTGCTGATTTAATTAAACAAACCTAAAGCATATAAATTTATTTCTTTTCCCCCCCCCCTTCCTTCCCAGCATTTTTCAAAGCAACCAAACGGTGGCAAAATCGCCAAATACGATAACTTGAGCTGAATAATTTCATTCTGATGAACTAAAACAAAGGTAAACCTTTAATAAATAAATAAATAAAAACTCAGTTTTTCTCTGCCTTTTGCCTTTCCCGAATTTTTTTAGCAACAAAACAGGGGCAAAAACGTGATCGAACCTTGCATTCGAAGGAACCAGAGGGGGAACTCTGCTGCCAGATTCGGACGGTCTTGTCGCCGCTGCAAGAAGCGAGCACCGCCGGAACTCCATCGACGCCGGTGGTAGGGTTCCAGGAGAGACCCCAGACCCTGTCGGTGTGGCCTTCGAGCCTCTGAAGCTCCTTGAGCTCGAAGCTCTCGTCGTAGAGAGACATAGTACGAATTGCAGAGGTGCGATTTGGGAGTTTTTTTCTTCTCTTTTCTTTCTGAGAGATAGGGTTTTGGAACGACGACGAAGAAGAAGAAAAAGACAAGGAACGAGTAGGACGAAAGAGTGGGTTGGCAACTTGCCAGATGCGCCGATCCAAGTAGGACCACCGGGCTCAAGGAGTGTGCCCAACTCGTGCAAGTAACGGATCACATTTTTTAAGCCAATTTTTATTTTTAAACTCAATTATTTTAGTGAGAGCATTTATAACTGTGCACTTCTTTTTTTTTCATTAAATTTGAGTAAAAAATAAGTTATTTTCTCAATTTGATACTTATTCTTTTAACGGTGAGCATCAATGCAGAATTGAGGAAGTGGTCGACTGGTAAGGGCAAATTTATTTTTTTTTTTTACCTGTTTGAACCTTTTTTGACCGGTTTGAACCTACTTATTTGAAAGGAAACCGATTAACCAGTTGGTCAACCGGCCAGGCAACCGGCTGGTTGACCGGTTTACCTCTTCCAACGGTCACGCACAGTAATTTGGTCAAATCTGTAGTTTGTTCTCAGTTTGATGATTTTTTTGTTGAATTCTCATTTTGATACGAATTTGGTGAAACCGTTGGAGCACAAAAAAGTAACTTTTTCACCAAAATTTAAATCTGATACCAAATTTAGTTCACCGTTAGAGATGGTCTGGGGGAGGTAATTATTAAGGTATTTTTTTTTAGGGGGTTTTGATGAGTTAGTGGTCTACCACTATTTTCAAATTGGGTTAAGAATTATCTAATTAATTCTACAGTTATGCTAATTGGTGTTCAAGCTATTGTATGGCTAGTTTTAAGGCTTCTTGATTTACAGTTAGCTGTTTATTTATTTGATAAATTTTTAAACTGTAATTTTCTAGGGATCTGCCAGAGGCTAATGATAAGAGAAATTGATATCTTAATTTTTTATCTTCTAACTCTTGTATAAGTTCAGTACTAATTTTGATTTTAATCCTAAGTTTTTCTTCTAAGAACATAAAGTTTTGATTTTTTAAATTCCTTTTATAGGCAATATTTCCTTAATATTTCTACTCGGGTTACTCTCATTTTATTCTAAAATTATTTTTCTTTGGCAAAAGTATTTTTAGGCAATGTTTGTTTTCATTACATGTACTCCCACCTTGAAGCTAAGTTTCGTTCAACATAGTATATTTTTATTTTCTATTTTTTACCTTTCCCCTTCTGCCTACAATTTGCCCTCAAACGCCTAACCACGGCTCTCACAGGCTCTTCAGCTAAGGTCATTTAGTAGTAAAATAGAAAACAGCAGATACTACGAAGGTGCAAAGCATATAATATTAATGAGCAAACAAGCATTCCATAAACTTAGTTTTTCCAAAAGGAAAATAAATTTTTAGAATAGAATAATTACCCTTGTGAAATATTTAAGAAAAAAGAGAAACTACTCACACTTCATATTAATAAAAAATATACTTATAAAGATTATATTATATATTCTGAAATTCGGAAAGATTTAGTACACTTAGAGATTTTTGAGAGGGGTTGAAAATTTTTACAAAGCAGAGTGAAGGGGAATTTTTCATTATGCCTCTTCCGTTGGCACGAATGCCAATTTATACAACACAAAAGAAAAATAAAAACAAAACTCCAAATTTATGCCTAACCTCTTACGTCTAAACTTTTCCTAAAAGTCCAAGACCTATTCAACACCTATTCAAGCCTAGACTTAGGCTTTTCTAATAAAGACAAGGCTATATGCATACAATTATATGCCTATTTTGACAAGCTTTCTACGGATAAAAACAAGCAAAGGGTTTGTATAATGATGCTGGGTACTGCTTTAGGCCTCATCGCACATCATTCAATCCTTTCTTTTTTGACACTATAATTTATTACAGGACACGTGTAACAGGTTTTCTTTAATAAAGCAGGCCCCATCGCACATCATTCGATCCTCCCTTTTTTGACACTATAATTTATTACAGGACGCGTGTAAGGATTCTCACAGATTTTCTTTAATAAAGCAGGGTAGGGGTCATCTGCTTTATTAAAGTAGTGAGTGAAGGAAAAGCCTTATTACTGATAGATACAAATAATTGCAAACATAGATATTTACAATAGCTATCTATCTTTTCTTGGCGTGCTCATCTCTCACTTTTGAAGAAAGGCTTTATCTTCTACAAAATTTGTCTTTTTCCTCTGGGATGCCAATAATTGATGTCGACACTTGGATGCTGAATCTTCAAAGTGGATTCTTCGTGAAAGATTTACAAAATTTGAAGAGTCAAAAATCTTACTACAATATTTTCAAAATATAATATGAGTCTTAAATGTGAAGTGCACCCTATTTTTATTTTTATTTTTATTTTGCTAACATGAAGTTGTCAAATAGGGAATATAGCATTTTTTTTTATTTAGTGATATAATTTTATATTTTATTATAAATTTGACAATTTTTTTTGAGTGATTTATTTGACAATTTTAACTTACCTTTTACTATATTTTACTCTATTCAATTAACGCTCTCTCAAATCATTTATATTAAAATCAAATTGGAATAAATACAATCGGGTTAGATAAATTTACCATCCTTGTGTGCAAGCCTACGCGACGCGTGGGTCTCATTTTCGACCTGTTTGACAACTTCATGCTTTTTTTAATGACTTTTTTTTATATTTTGATGAGGTGAAAAATAAATATTTATAGTTATCTTTTTAGTTGAATAAATAGTTTTGAGGAAATAAAATAATTTGTTGATATGTATGGTGTGATCTTTTAAATTTTTATTTATTTTTTACTTTTTAGTGGTTTTATCCAAAAAATTACAAAGCAAACGTGCCAATAAATATGGGTTGGGTTCCATTTAAATTTAAATATGGTAAAATCTAAATTTGAAAAAAATTTAAATTTGAATTTAAGAGAACTATTTGAACCTATGAAACCAACTATGAATCTCATTTTAATAATCTAAACTATTTATTTATAAGTTTTTTTATATATATCATTAATGAACAAAAATTAAGTCGATCTAAGAATTATAATTTTTTCAATTTGTTGTGTTTTCTTCCATAAAATTAATGATAAATATATTTTTAAAAATAAATTATCAATCTTTTTAAAAATAATGTGATAATATTAAAAAAATTGCGATTATCAGATGAATATTTACGACTACCAACACATAACTCACAAACCTAAACCGCCATATAACACGCAATTATTAAATTAGTATGATTGGTTGTTGTGGACCCATTCACATAAAATATCTATATTTATATAAACTCTCAAAATGTGAAGGAAAAAAAAAAAAATTCCTATTCACGTGAGTGTTCCTAAATATTAAGATGTCCGCATATTTTAGACAGTTTGATTTGCAGTTTAGACTCATTTGCTTGTTTAGGGTGTGGTTGGTAACGTTTACGTTTTTAGTTTATATTTATAAAAATTTTATAAATTGGTATTTGTTTATTTTTTATTTATTTTTAGAAAAACATAAACTACAAACGCGTTTGGTAATTGACAAAATGTTTAAAAAATTTAAAAATATAAAAAAAAAAAGTGAGAAATGGCAATGGTGGCAAGTGGCGGCGGAAGACGGTGGTGGAAAGTGGTGACGGTGGGTGGTGGGTAGCTGGTGGCGAGGTGAGTGGGTGGTGGCGGGTGGGCGGGTGACGATGGCGAGTGGTGGGTGGTAGCGAGTGGGTGGTGGCGGTTGGTGGTGTGGTGGTGGGTGGGGGTGGTGTGTAGGTGGGTGGCGGATGGCGGGTTGTTGGTGGTGGGTGGTAACGGTAGGTGACGGTGTGGTGGTGCGCTGGGTGAGGTGACGGTGGTAGGTGGTCAGGTGGTAGCGAGTGAGTGGTGGTGGTGGTGGTGTGGTGGTGCGTACGGTAGGTGCAGGTGGTGGTGGGTAGTGGTAGGTGGGTGATGGATGACGGTCGGCGGGTGGTGGGTGGTAGCGAGTGATTGTTTGGTGGTAGTGGTGGCAGCGGGTGGATGGATGGTGGTGGGTGGCGGATGGCGGTGTTGGTGGTGGTGGTGGGTAGGTGCGGGTGGTGGTGGTGGTGGGTGGGTGGGTGACGATGGCGGGTGGTAGGCTGGTAGCGAGTGGGTTGGTGGTGTGGTAGGTGGTGGGTGGTGGTGGTAGGTGGGTGGGTGGCGGGTTAATGGTGAGTGGTGGCGGCGATGGTGAGTGGTGGCGGCGTGGGTGGCAGGTGGGTGGTGGTGGGTGCGTGGTGGTGGCGAGTGGTGGATGGTGGTGGTGGCAAGTGGGTGGTGAGTGGTGGTGGGGGTGGTGGCGGAAGACGGTGGTGGAAAATGATGATGGGTGGTGGCTAGTGTTGGGTGGTAAAAAAAATACTGAAAACTCAAAATGGAAACACATTTTCTGTGTTTTCATTTTTTGGCCAAATTTATAAACTGAGACTACTGATTTATAAATCAAAAATTTTACCAAACAAGTTTTTATTTGAGTTTTTAAAATTTTTGTAAATATAAACAGAAAACTGAAAATGTGTGTTACCAAACGGCACCTTATAATTTTAAAAAAATTAAACCCGCAATCGCCTGTAATTCGAGTTATGATTTGTGCAGATGAGATTCGCGAATTTGCGAATTGCAGGCGATTTGCGAATTGAGCTTTTTCCTTTAAAAATTTCTTTTTTAGCTTGTTTTTCTCTATTTTTAAAATATTATTTTTTTACTTTTTTCCGTCATTTCCATAATTTCATCCCACTTTCCTAACAATGCATCTTTAGGTCCCATGTATGGTGTTAGTGGTTCTTCTTCTTCTTCTTCAGTTATTCATGTCCTTGACAAAGTACTGCATGTAATGCTATATCTACTAGACACTACAAAACACACTCTAAACAACACTATCAAAACGACAACATCAATTGAATTCAGTAACGTCCATTTTTTTCCCTTTTTATTTCAAAGGCAAGATTAATATAATAGAATACAAATCGGCCTAAGAAGAAGATAGAAGGAAAATCAAAAATTGAAAGATAAATAAAACACGAGAAAAATAAATAAACAAACAATTGCAAATTGATGATCAGAACCGACAAAAAAAATAACTAAATGAATTTACCGGCTAGTCCAATCCACATTTTCATGTTGAGTGTTTGT